ATTATGACTATTATAAAAATGATTTTTCACAATAAAAATGATGTTTTTAACAAATTAAAACATTATGTGATGCATGACGGTAAGTCCGGGTGTTAACACTCGAGACTAGGCCGCTATTTGTTATTAAATGTGTGTTAATGATCTTTATGATAAGTAATTATTATGGATGATTATGAATGATAAACCTACTGATTAGGAATTATTATTAGTGACTAAATCATTATTTAAATTGAATATAATGATGATCACGAAATTGGTGTGTTGTTAAGGCTATCTCGAAGACTTCTAAGATAGACCTCAAATTAGTTTAGGCCTTGCGGGTATAAATATGTATATTCGGTGGCCTTGGGTAAAAACGTACGTACGGGATCCATAAACCAAACTAGAGGAACTCGTTTGGGGATACCACCCAACCTGACAGTTAGTAATCTACTGTTCGGTTTTCTGGATTTGTACCTTAAGCGAAGGCTAGTTTAAGAGTTGGTAAATAAATTGGAATATGTACCTTAAACTAATGACCTAGCTTAAGAGTTGGTTAGAAGTACCTTGAACTAGTAATAGTTTAAGAGTTGGTAATCATCAAAGGTTTGGCCTTAGACTAAGCTTAGTTAAGGATATTGTTGAGTATTGAATGTTGAATATTGAAAAAATTGAGAATATCATGAATGAATTATATATTGTGTGCATGATATCAAATGGTTGTTTGTGAATTGAGATTCAATTTATGTGGATGTTCGACGCTTTAGATATGCTTACTCAGCTTCATCGCTGAGCGTGTAGTATATTTTATTTGCTACACGCAGGTAGACTGAATGAATGATTGGCTTGTTCCTGGCAGCAGAAGGGGCGAGATTGTCGTGGTGGAATTTGTGATTTTAAAATAAATACTTGTGTTGTTATTAAACATGGTTTAAATTGCTTCCGCATTATTGTTAAACACTCTGCATTTTGCTACAATTATGTATTAAATAATATTTATGATGAATAAAAGTATTTGAAATGTTTTAAATTTTATGATTACCAAGTTAATACTTTAGTCTGAAAGGGGCTGCAGACCTGGACGGATTAGGGTGTTACACTGTGACTTGCCTCTACGAATGCGTCCAGATATTCTCTATCATCGTCAAGCAATCCGCCGGATTGCTTGACTTGGTCAACAAACTTTGTTTTGAGTACATCTTCAAAACTCTTAAAGTAGAATCGAAAATTAGGAAAGCCATTTTCCGATAGTTTTTGAATCTTGGTCTTTCCCAAAAATTGGAGCATGCAAGGGTGATTGGTAGTTTTTGTGCCTTGGAAATTGTGTATAACC